GTCTATTACTGTGTTCAACTTATAAATTAAATTTTATTATTAGTCCTTATGTGTCAGAAAAACATTCCATAAAATATTTGGCCCTATTTGAAATTCCATGTCTCTACTAAAAGTCTTGGAAATGTTCCCACACAGCAGTGAGGACTACCATGTACTAAATATAGTATTTTGCTGGTATTAATTTAGGAATCCTTATAACAACTATATATGATATGTATTATAGTTCCCACTTTGCAGGTGGAAAAACTAATGTAGGAAAGTTATAGAGGACTTCACTGCTAGCTCACAGCAAGTTCATTATAGAATCAGGACTCCAACACAGGAAATGTGGCTTCAGAATCTGCTGTAACCAAGGTTGCAAGGACTCTGGCTGATGGTAGTGCTGCTGGGGTTTAGAGTCTTTTCTCTGTGTCTGGACTATGGAAGTGATGAGTGGACATCGACACATTCATTCCTCATGGACAGCATTATAAATGTGCTCTAAATTTCGCCACGGGAAGACAATGGATTACAAAAGTGAAATTGGTTTTCTGTGTTTCCTAGCAGTTAAGTAATGCAAATGCAAACTGTCTAAACTCTGCCCTCAACTGCAATGCCATAAACATAAGACTGTTGTGTCTAGATTGTGAAGTCTCTAAAGACCACCAGGGAGCTGATTTTGATGTAAACACACAAGGGTCATTTATTTAAGCTCGAGCAGGGACACTCAACCGTCACCGACACAGCGGATCAGGATTGAGAGCCCCGAATTCCAAATCAGCAGGGTTTTTATTGTGGCTATAGTAAGGTTTGGGGATTTTTTATTTAGCAGTTACATGATTGGTTGATATTTAGCAAGTATGGGGTGTACATCGGGAGGGGTTGAGGGGTGGCTACATGTAGATTTTATGGGAAAAAGGAACAATCAGCACTTTGACAGTATGTTCTATAGATAATGGGCCCAGGAGCCTCTGTTTTCTGGGCAGACAGAGGATTGAGTTAGGAGCTGTGTCCTTTTTTTATCTGTTTTCTCACAGCAAGGACATTTTATCATTATTTTATGGGCACAAAGGACACTAGGGGAATAGTTGACTTCAGTGAAGTGGAATTTATGTCAAGGCCACTTTACTGTCTTATTTTAAGATGGAATCAAATTTTAAAATAGAGTTAGTTAGGTCTCACATTCCCCCCTTCTCATGACGCTATAGAGGACCAATCATGGGCCTCTGAGGGCCAATTTTATTAGGTCTTCAGAATCTGCTTGGTACTGGGACCTAAGTACCATCAGCTGTACTGTGCTAATGTGTTCTCTGATGAAGGATACCAGCCTGTTAAGTATGTAAGGTCCAAATGTTAACAGGAGTAATAAAATGAGTAACGGTCCCAGCAGGGTAGAGAACAGAGTGGTCAACCATGGGGAGGAATTGCACCAAGATTTAAACCAACCTTGATTTTGCTCTCGTTCTCGCTTTTGTTTAGCGAGACCTTTTTTGACTTTGGCCATAGATTTTTTTGACCACTCTTGAGTGGTCTACATAAAAGCAGCATTTTTCACCTAAGGCAGCACAGAGCCCCCCTTGTTGTAGGAAGATTAAATCTAGGCCTCTTTGGTTCTGGAGAACTACTTTTGCCAGGGAGATTAGTGACTCTTGTAGGTGGGAGATGGAGCTTTTTAGTCTCTCGATGCCTGTATCTATGGCTGTTCTCAAATCATTGTAATGTCTGTTTTGTAACACTAATGATGAGACTCTTGTTCTTGCCCCAGCTAATCCTAAACCTAGGAGAACTGTTAAACTGACGGCTGTTACAGGTTTTTGTTTAACCCTAGCTGGGGTCTTAATCAAGCGACTAAAAATATCTTTTTTGA